GCTCGTTATTTTCGCGCTCTCGCCTTTCGGTTTCGGGCGTCGGCAAACCTAAATACGGCCGAGAGTTCCCCCCAAACCGGCCCAAGACGGCCCCCAAGAGGGCCTGGCAACGACCATAACGAGCCCCCGCCTTACTCCCAAGAGGCCCCCAAGAAGCCTCCAGAAGACCGCCAGCAAGTCCCCAGAAGCTTGAAAGCGGCTTCTAGAAGCCGCCCCCTAAAGGCATCCGAAAAGCCTCCAAGAGGCCCCACAACAGACGCGGAGGAAGAGGTGCACGACTGGGCAACAACTGCCCGCAAGCAACAACATGCCAAGTGGCAAACAGCACATACGAAAGCGGAAGTCACACCTCTCCTCTTCTGGGGATCAGCGGAATAGCGTAATGAAGCATCTTGGGAGAGGTAAGAGAATAAGCTGCTTACCCATCGGGGACGCATGCCCCAGGTCGGCTTGAAAACTCAGATGCAGACGTGCAGACGTGCAACCGTAGGAGCGTGCGCTTTCCAGCCGCCCTGACACAAGCATCCCAGATGACGAACAACAACAACAACAACAACAACAACAACAAGAACGAGGCGCAGTTGACCGGCCCGTCCAGTGGGGAGCTCCACAGCGCCTCCTCCCCTAGGGACAAGGCCGACTTGACCGGCCCGGGGGCAACCGCGGGACCCCAGCAACCCCAGCAACCCCAGCAACCCCAGCAACCCCAGCAACCCCAGCAACCCCCAGCAACCCCGAAAGCTTACCTCCACAGACCAAGCTCTCAACGCTACGTCCTCCATGCGGATTCTGACAGCACGACGCGTGTGCGCACCGGTGCAGCGAGCTCTTGAGGAATCCTATAGGATCCTCGAGAAATCCTACAGGATCCTATAGGAAATCCTATAGGATCCCTTAGGAATACTATAGGATTCCTTAGGAATCCTATAGGAATCCTATAGGATCCCTTTGGAATCCTATGGGATACCTTAGGAATCCTATAGGAATCCTATAGGATCCCTTAGGAATCCTATGGGATTCCTTAGGAATCCTATGGGATTCCTTAGGAATCCTATAGGAATCCTATAGGATCCCTTAGGAATCCTATGGGATCCCTTAGGAATCCTAGAGGATCCCTTAGGAATCCTAGAGGATTCCTTAGGAATCCTATAGGATTCCTTAGGAATCCTAGAGGATCCCTTAGGAATCCTATGGAATCCCTTAGGAATCCTATAGGATCCCTTAGGAATCCTATAGGATTCCTTAGGAACCCTGTGGGATCCCTTCGGAATCCTATAGGATCCCTTAGGAATCCCATAGAGGAGCTCTATGAGCTCTATGAGGAGCTCTGCTAGGATCCTATAAGATCCTATAGGATCTATAGGATCCTCTAGAAATCCTATGAAATCCCATAGGAAATCCTATAGGATCCTATAGAAATCCTATAGGATCCTATAGGAAATCTATGAAATCCTATAAGATCCTCTAGAAATCCTATAGGACCCTATAGGATCCTATAGGACCCTATAGGATCCTATAAGATCCCTTAGGAATACTGTAGGATTCCTTAGGAATCCTATAGGAATCCTATAGGATCCCTTAGGAATCCTATGGGATCCCTTAGGAATTCTATAGGATCCCTTAGGAATCCTATGGGATCCCTTAGGAATCCTATGGGATCCCTTAGGAATCCTATAGGATCCCTTAGGAATCCTATGGCATCCCTTAGGAATCCTATAGGATCCCTTAGGAATCCTATGGGATCCCTTAGGAATCCGATAGGATCCCTTAGGAATCCTATGGGATCCCTTAGGAATCCTATGGGATCCCTTAGGAATCCTATAGGATCCCTTAGGAATCCTATGGGATCCCTTAGGAATCCTGTGGGATCCCTTAAGAATCCGATGGGATCCCTTAGGAATCCTATGGGATCCCTTAGGAATACTATAGGATTCATTAAGAACCCTAGAGGATCCTATGGGATCCCTGAGGAATCCCTTAGGAATCCTATTGGATCCCTTAGGAATCCTATAGGAATCCGATGGGATCCCTTAGGAATCCTATAGGAATCTTATAGGATCCCTTAGGAATCCTATGGGATCCCTTAGGAATCCTATGGGATCCCTTAGGAATCCGATGGGATCCCTTAGGAATCCTATAGGATCCCTTAGGAATCCTATAGTATTCCTTAGGAACCCTGTGGGATCCCTTCGGAATCCTATAGGATCCCTTAGGAATCCCATAGAGGAGCTCTATGAGCTCTATGAGGAGCTCTGCTAGGAGCTCTATTAGGAGCTCTGTTAGGAGCTCTACTACGAGCTCTACTACGAGCTCTAATAGGAGCTCTACTACGAGCTCTAATACGAGCTCTACCACGAGCTCTAATACGAGCTCTATTAAGAGCTCTACTACGAGCCCTACTACGAGCTCTACTACGAGATCTACTACGAGCCCTACGAGGAGCTCTACTTCGAGTTCTACCACGAGCTCTACCACGAGCTCTACTACGAGCTCTACCACG